CGGCATATCGGATATCGGCCAAAATCCCAATATCATGCATCCCTAATCAAAATAACACTTTGAAAAAGGCAGTTCTATCAATTATTATGAACATTCATGCAAAGAACATTAGAGATGTCAATGTGTGGATTATCATAAAGGCAGACATGAAGGGGAAAAGCTCTCCTTCCAGTTATGATCCAGGACTTTGTACCATCAGCCTCCTCTCCTCCTTCTCCTGCTGCAGAGCTCCTATTAGATCAGCTAGCTGGCAGCTGCACTCCAACATTTCTCCCAACCCCACCTCCTGTTCTCTTTACCGGGGCTTTAGTGAATGACTGTGCAAATGAGGGGCTGTCTTTGGAAGAGGGTTGGTGGGCTGGTCGGATCTGATCAGGTCGAAGATCAGTGCAGTGAGACGGAGACGGGCAGGACACCTTTCCCTCTTGAGAGGCGGTTTCTCTCTGTTGGTTTTTTTTTTCCTGATGGTTTAAAGCAGAAAAGGAGAAGGCCATGGAGGTAAAGTGCTTTTCCTTTTCCTCCAACCGTCCTTTCAGCATCAAACTGATGGATTGAACAACCTCCCATCTGCGCTATAGAACAGGCAGCCAGGGCTGAGTGGGATGTGGGAGCTGCGGCTGTGCCAGATGGGCTCTCTGTACTCTGTGCACTGGTGTAGGTAGCTGTAGCAGTGGGGTTAACATGAAACAATGCCTGCTACTATTTTTAGCTTCCTGGACAGCTGAAACGCCACAGACAGCAGAACTTTTCCTCTCACACAGGATTCCTGTTTATCTATTTGGATTTTTTTTATTCTTGTTGATTTATGCTTTGTGTTTAAAAACACCAATTAAATCAGTATTTAATTCAGGGCTTATAAGGAGAATGCATTATCTGGTGGATATTTCAAATTCAAATTATAACTTTTAGGGCACGCTTTCACTTATTTATATATATTTTTTGCCTTAAATGCATTTTCTCTTAAAGTTCTGCAAGAAGAATTAAATGAAGTAGAGGAGAAAGCATGTTAGGCCTCTGTGTCTTCCTTCAGCATGCTGTATGGGTTTGGAGTGAAATAATTAGCATTTAGCTTGCAGCATTGTTTGACCGTCTAATCTTCTGTGATGAATTTATCCGGACTTGTTTGGGTTTTCAACTCTTTCTCTGTTTTAAGCGTTTGCATTTCTGTGTTATCTCCTGGCAGATCGATAAACAGAAGCTCAGCAAAGACTCTGTGTTCTTCCGAGATGGAGTGCGGAGAATAGATTTCATCCTATCATACGTCGACGATAAAGATTGTGAAAAAAAACAGGTAAGAACTGAAGTTAAACTGACTGCACAGACAAGTTATCTGTATTTGTTTTATTTGTCTTTTAACTCCACTTGGCAGATAGTTGAGCTCCTGAAAGCTGAGCTTTTCACAAAGGTTAGCTGCTGATGTAGTTTCCTGTTCTTGGATGAACTGCTCCATGCAGGATATCCTTAAAGTTGTGTGCCTGCATTCTTTGATTCTGTCTGTCATCTTGTTTTTTGGTTATTTTTGAGGGTTAGGGTCGTTTAATCAGTCGTTTTTTCATACAAAAGTGTGAAAGGATTCTGTCTGTTTCATAGGGAGCTGCCAGCCTTCTCAGCAGTGTGTCACCAGTTAACACTTTGCCCACACTCCCAGTCTCTGAGCCAAACTGCTGGCCTACTTCATTTTTTCCATGGAAGGAGGAAGGGCCAACAGGAGGTCACTTCCTGTGGAACAGCCTGAAGTGTTGTTATAATATGGCACTAAATCTCCTCCCTAACAAGAAGCTTGTATGTCCCTATTAGGCCAATACATTTAAAAAACAAAGGGCAACGGTAGTTTACTGAAAAGCAGGTTTTATAACGGAGTATAAAAAGCTAACGGGTCACTAATAAAAAATCAGTCAGATCTGAAAAAAAGAAAATCATCAACCAGTAAAGGTCCGGAGAGATTTTTAATTATAATCTCTGGCTTTAAACAGAATTTAACACTGAAATAAAATGAGCTGTTTATGCATCCATGTTATACATTACATGTTTAATTAAAAAATACAAAATTAAAAATCTAATTTTTTTGCATTTTAAAATCTAAAGTTCTTTTTGAAATCTTTCACAGTTCGGCTCATAGACGATTTTCTGACTTTCATAT